TTTTTTTAAATTTTTTATGTTCTTGTATACTCTTGATAATAGAGTAATTACAAATAATAATTATTATAAAACAGAAAATAAACATTTAATAAGGTGACTCATGATTGCCAATATTCATCAACAATGAATTAAAACTGCAAACTCAATAATTGCCACTGCAAGACTTAGACAAGTAAGAAGTGTCCTTCTAAAAACATTAATGAAGAAGCATTACCTGTACAAATAAAACATGCAACCAATAACTAATGTAATGTAAGCCTACCTGTTCCAATTCCGAGTCCAATTCTGTAGCCATTTAATTTTTCAATTTTACATTTACGAATAATTAGAGCAAATAATCTGAGCATGCGTGACCACGCCCAACTTTTGAAGCACATGGCTTTGATTAGCAAAATGGCGACATGAAGTTGGCACGACAATCCAACAGTCACAGCATCACTTCTTCCTTATTTGAAGAATGATTCTAGGAGACAAGGACCTGCGCATGCCCTGTTGAAGTAGAATGGTGTAGGAATTAGCGTTCAACGGGTGGACAAAAGTGGCCAAACTGCATATCTGCTTTTTAGTGATGATAAATGTTGAAAATGCCCCTTTTTATAGACTTTTAGACTTTGAATTACTGGAATTTAGTTAAAGGAAAGATATGTGCATAAGTATTCATATAGTCAACTTTTAGCATTTTGAGATTTGCATATTTGCAAATTGTTGAATGTGACAATCTAGCTAACATTCACTATCTGACAATATCAATTTCTGCATATTTACATTTGGCAGCTTGCATCTACAAAAGTTCAGTCTTATACTTTGCTATAACTGCATACCTGCAAACCTGGAAATCTACATTTTGCAGCTACAGCAATTTTTGCTGGCTTCTTGCTGCAGAGCCTTTGCTGGTGCTGCTGCACATAAAAGCTATTGTGTATTTACACCTTTCAGGTGAGACTATGTAACAATAATAATAATTATAATAACTTGTTCTTCTCTATATCTAAGTGTTCTTTCTTTATTTATAATAATAATAATAATAACAATAATAATAATAATAATAAATGGGCTTCCCTTTTTTTTCTCTCTTTTGTCTCCCGCATTGTGTCTGATTCTGTTATATAATAATAATAATAATAATAATAATAATAATAATAATAATAATAATAATAATAATAATATCAATATTAATAGTTCCAGGTGAGCTAGATGATGTGGTATAGGTAGGTCAGCTAATTAAAATGCAAGATGCATGCGACTGTGTGAGGCTGAATGCTTAATTGCACATGTGCACCTTTTAAAACTATTTTTTTACTATAGTAAATTGAAATTTGTGAATTGTTTTGACATTAGATAATTGGTTATTATGATAAATTCTAATTTCCTTAAATTAGGAATTTTGAATGATGAAAATATACTCTGACTTCAGATACAAACCAAACTAACATATTTTATTATTTCTCTGAAACAGGTATGAAAACATGGCCACCAGATTGCTTACAGAGTTATCATTATAATTATCAAAAAATTCATTTATTATTAAACATTTTAGAAAACAAAAAATAGATCACTTCAAATTATTAAATTTAATAATAGATATATAACTCAACTCTTAATTGTTATTTATTGATGTAGCAATGTTTTCTAGCATTACACTATTGGTACGTTCTCGTTAAAAGAAGTAGGTAGCTCTTCTGCCAATATTTTAATCAGGTCAAGTACATTCCTTGGCAACGGCAGCTTGTTTTCAATTTCAATGTTCTCAGCCCTGCATAACGGACAACTCCTGCTTGCAGCCATCCATTGTCGAATGCAACTTTCACACACTAAATGATTGCAGCAAACAAGTAGCAAGCACTCTGATTTAACTACAGACTTGCATATAAAACATTTGAAAAGCTCTGATATCTGTTCACACTTGTTGCATTTACTAGCCAATTTACTTGTGCTGTGCAAATTTTCAAGCTTATTAATCCTTTCTTCTAGAGTTTTGTAGCTGCTAGACTTTGATACCTGTTTCCTCTTGCCCTTGGCTTTAGAGCTACAAGGTTCTTCATCTTCGCTACTCAACATAATAGGTGAAAGTGATCGAATACAAATTTTCTTCTTCTTGAATGAAGGGAGGGCTTCAAAGTCATCATCATCATCATCATAATCAGGTATATCGCCACGATATAAATGATAGTCCTCTTCTGTCACAGCTTTAATTTTCTTTAGCGTTTTCCAATACTTGCTACCTAAAAATATAGACCATAAGTGTTAGCGTGCAATTTACAGCATTCATTCAACATAAATTAGCGTAATGCTTTTAAAGTTTTACTTAAAACTGACCTCGAGAAGCTGTAGTATCTGGGATGGGTAGATTATCATTGTCCAATAGAATTACTTTTTTTCCAGCAAATACTTCACAGGATAACTGCTGTGAAACATGAAAAATAGTAGCCGATGATTCAGATAGTATTATTGGAAAATTAGAAAACTTCTTTAACTCCCCATTCGACACATGGTTGACTTCGATGTTTTTTGTCCATTCAGTGCATTCTTTGGCAGTCACTGCTGGTGGCTTTGCTGGCCACTTCGCTTTTATCGATATGCCCCTTGGTGTCTTGACAGCTGGTGGTGGGGTGTTAGCATGTTGAGTAGCACTTGCTGAAGGCAACGGATATCCTCGAGAGGAGTTGACAACTGATGAAGCAGGACCTTCTATTAAGGGATCGCCTTGAACTTTGTATGATAAATAGGATGCTAAGGAAAAATTTCCTTGTTCATCTGGAAATTCCACGGTACCATCATCGGCTGAGCTAGAGTATTATTGAACCGGGCATATATCGAAAGGTCTGGCTAATGCGCTTCACATTTAGCTGTTCCTCCCTCATCTTAACCTGCCTTGTGTCCGTGTACAATGTATAGTAAGTCATCTCACAAATCTTGTAGAGACAGTAGAGTAATGAGTAGTCTAGGAGAGAGCCTAAGTACGTCGACCAATATCAATGGTGAGCCACGTGGATGAATAAAGCTATCACACGTGAAAGGTTAATTAATTAAAATTTGGTTTATAGAAATTGCGATTTAAACCATGGATGTTGATCTTGTTAGAGATTGGAGAAAGAAAGGATTGACTTATAAAGAAATTAGTATTGGACTACAGCAAGCCAATCCTCGAGTCAGGGGTTTATCAGAAAGATCTGTCCGTCGTTTTTGTAAGGAAAATGGCATTGAAAAGATGGATAATGCAGAAGTAGATGATGTGGTTGAAGATGCAGTGAAAGAGGTACCTATGTAGGGTTATTTTACATTAGTGAACTGATCAATTCTGTGTTTATGTGTTATTACAAGGTGCATAAACTCATTTTCAATAGGCAATGCTCCACCTTTTATTTAAGGCCATGTCCACACATGAAGATTTATAGTACTATGATATAGGTGATGCTCGAAAGCACACTTCATTGTGACAAAATGACCCTGAGGTTTATTTTTAACTTTGTAATGACTGTCATTGCCTATCACCATTTTGGATGCATTAATTAGAAACTTGTCTCTAGCTACCTGTACAAATTAAAGTTTAATTATGGTTTTTATGTGAAAAATTAAATATAATAACGATCAGTCGATAGTAAAAAGTTAATGGGTTTTTGCTCTAGTGTCAATGCCTAAATTGTAATTCAAAAAGTGGTGAGTACTGTGTTCATCACAAAAAATTGATATTCAACACAATGTTAGTAAAGGAAGGACTCTGACTTATACTTATTGAGTAACATAAACAATCTGATAAAGCTGAATGTTTCATGTTTAATAGGTTGGAGAGACTTATGGTAGGAAATTGATGAAAGGTCTGTTAGACTCAAAAGGAGTTTTTATTACAGAAAAGAGAATTGCAGAATCACTTCAAAGGATTGATCCTCAAGCTTATGAGAGAAGAAGGCAAAATACTATTGACAGAACAAATCCAGTTCCCTATACTGCCTCAGGCTTTGGTCACAAACTACATCTCGACCAAAATGAGAAACTTGTGATGTTTGGTGTCACCCACGTGCTAGCAGTTGATGGATACTCTGGCATGATTGTTGCTCATACAATCATGCCAATTAAGAATAACTTAACGATATATGAAAATATATACAGGTAAGAGGGTTAATTTTTGCGCACCTATAAAATTTTATGTAGAAAAGCTGCATTAGATTACGGAATCTGGGAGCAAATTAGAGTTGACTGTGGAACAGAATTTTTTTTAACTCTGTTTGTTCAACGAAAAGTTCGTCAACAGTATGGCTCATCAGATATAGCATGTTTTGCACAAACACCTTCCACTCAGGTATAAGACACAACTAAGTATGAAAATGTAATTGATCGGGATATTTTTGTTAGAATCTGACTGTTGAAAGACTCTGGCCTGAGGTGAATGCAAGGGTCAATTACCCATTGAAGAGAGTAATGTATTCATTACAAGAAAGAAACATGATCGATATGGCATGTTTGACTACTCGCTTTTGCGTTTCTCACATTTTAAGACATGTAGCAGCAGTGGGTGTAAATAGATTTGTATCTGCCTGGAACGCTCATTTTATAGCTGGTAAGAAAATTTTTTATTTAATTTTGGAAATCCAACAATGCTATAAATATCATACAATGCTTACGAAATACAATAATGGGTTAATACTTACAGCTAGTCATAATTGTAATAATTTTAATAGATTACTTTAATTTAATTTGTTGTGCATGACATTTTTCTGTAGTCAGATTGTAACATCTGGACTGCTTAAACACTATTGACAAATTAGCTAACAACACCATTTTATCTTTTTTGTAATAAATCCCATGCATGTACTCTTATTAATTATGTAACTTATTAATTAATACTAATAAATTCACATCTGTGTCATAGTTGACATGTTATTTTGACATTGATTTTACTATTTAGGTAAAGGAGTACCATTGCAATTAATGCAACCAAGCTACACAATACAATTTTTACCATCAGATCTACCAGATACTGTCACAGCGGCTGATGAGTATGAACAAGAAGGAGGTTCTTTGACTCGTATCAGTAATTTTGGCACTGATCCACTACAAGGAAGACAAGATTTGATTGCTATTAGAGATCAACGTTTAGCATCGGATGTTGGAAATTTTGAAGCCATATTTACTGATGTAATTTCAAATAGGGGCAATTTGTTAGAGCATGCATTGCTTCATTTTTTATCTCTTACTCATAGACTCTCTCAAATGTTATAAAATATTAATTTTGTCAGTAATAATAATGATTAATGATAATGATAATAATAATTATAGTAGTAATAATAATAATAACAATAGTATCATTACTAGCTAATCTCACCTGAAAGGTGTAAATACACAATAGCTTTTATGTGCAGCAGCACCAGCAAAGGCTCTGCAGCAAGAAGCCAGCAAAAATTGCTGTAGCTGCAAAATGTAGATTTCCAGGTTTGCAGGTATGCAGTTATAGCAAAGTATAAGACTGAACTTTTGTAGATGCAAGCTGCCAAATGTAAATATGCAGAAATTGATATTGTCAGATAGTGAATGTTAGCTAGATTGTCACATTCAACAATTTGCAAATATGCAAATCTCAAAATGCTAAAAGTTGACTATATGAATACTTATGCACATATCTTTCCTTTAACTAAATTCCAGTAATTCAAAGTCTAAAAGTCTATAAAAAGGGGCATTTTCAACATTTATCATCACTAAAAAGCAGATATGCAGTTTGGCCACTTTTGTCCACCCGTTAAAAGCCTTCTATCACTAGGCAAGTTCGATATATTGACCGACAACTAGATTGACAGGACTTTCCTGATGATGATGATGATGATGATGAAGATGAAAAAAGGTGGCTGAACAAAAAGGCCGGTTCGCCGATTTTTGAATTTCCTCTTAGACAGGGCCTAGAGCCACGCTAGTGGTACCATTGGAGTCCTCTAGTCAAGATAAGGTCCTCTATAAAGTCTGGTAAGCATAGGAGCTCGTTTTCCCGGTATACCAAGGCTGCAAAAGTCGTGGCAGCCATTTTGTTTGGGGGTGAATCCTACTTAGTAACGCTACCGCGTTACTAATAGTACAGGGGCTTTGGCCTGATTTTTGAGTAAATTAAAAAATTCGTGAAAAATCCAAATTTGATTGAAATCAGTTCAAACTTGATATACAACATTAGAACATGTATATGTATCAGAAAAAATTATAAAAATGATGAATTCTCTCTTAGTCATTTTTGCCAAAATTTGGCCCGAGACCATGTGCTATAGTACAGGGACTTTGGCCCGATTTTTGAGTAAATTAAAAAATTTATAAAAAATCCAAATTTGATCGGAATCAGTTCAAACTTGATATACAACATTAAAACTTGTATATGTATAAGAAAAAATTATAAAAATGAAAAATTCTCTTTTAGTCATTTTTGGCGAAATTTGGCTCGAGACCATGTACTATAGTACAGAGACTTTGGCCCGATTTTTGAGTAACTTTAAAAATTCATAAAAAAATCCAAATTTGATCGGAATCAGTTCAAACTTGATATACAACATTAGAACATGTATATGTATCAGAAAAAATTATAAAAATGATAAATTCTTTCCTATTCATTTTTGCCAAAATACACTGTACTAATATAACTTTAAAAATTCATAAAAAAATCCAAATTTGATCGGAATCAGTTCAAACTTGATATACAACATTAGAACATGTATATGTATCAGAAAAAATTATAAAAATGATAGATTCTTTCCTATTCATTTTTGCCAAAATACACTGTACTAATAAGCCCATGATCTTTGACCAAAATTTTGGAACAAATTTAAATGTAAGAGCTATTATAGTATCAATCTAGTATTACTATAGACAGTATCTATAAGAGTACATATTTAGCATTGGCAACGCATAACTATAAAAACAATATTAACAAAAGTGTGATTGGCAGAATCAACAAACTGTTTGCCAAAAATCATAATAATTCCTTTTAAAAAACTGAAGAAATTTATATCATCATAATTATTTAAACAGGCATAGGGCTATGCTTTATTAAAATAAGTTTAATTATTAGGTTTTGTGGTATTACAACTAAGAAGGCATCCTTACCGTGTAGCAAATGGCTGACAGTTGATTGACACTGATTGGATCAGATAAATAGTTAACAATCTTAAGCAATGCCTCGTCGTACACAAAAGCTGGAGTAGTTTCGGAGGTTGTGGCACATTTCAAAGTTTTTGTTTGACATTTCCTTGATTCCAGACCAGTTCCTAGTGACCAAACACGAGGTTCTTCAATAGTACCATATATAGTCAAACTTAGTGAAGTATCATTGCTTTGAACGGTTTCTAATAAAAATAAAAATAATGAAATATTCACACCTTTTGAGCTACAAAGTGTCAACAAGGCATTCCATTTTTAAATTTGTGCATTATTTTGATAACAAGATGTTCTTTAGCCTTACCTTGAAGAGGGAGAGTGAAGTTATTTTGTTGGTTGTCCATGAGAATAACAGTCCAAGTGATAATAGCGCCTTTATAAAAAGTTATAATAACCATAGCACACACCTCATTTTGACTACCTTTACTGCTTTCTATGTCACCGGACTTGCTAGAAGCACTTTCATGATTGAGTATTGGCCCGATAGGGATTGTCACATCAAGGGCTTCACTGTGCAGTTCAATGCTGATCGATGTTTCTTTAAAAATGAAATTGCTGGCATTAACTTGTAGCTCAAATCCATGCACAGGGTTCAGTAATGTTACAAGGAATATGGAGACTAAAAGAACCACTGCAGGTGTGGAAAAATACTTGATAAGGCATAGTGTTTTAAAGAAACTCACCTCCTCCTTTGACGGCCATAACTGCAAGTGGGTGGGAGACTTGGGGAGGTGGCTTATTTACTGCTTTGAATAAATTAGATCTAGACCTAGACCTACATATGGCTGTCAAAACTGAAAATTAGCTTCAAGTTTAGCACCTTATGTATTATCTCGTGTATTATAAACTGCATTATTATTTTATGTTAATCACTGGGTGCTTTTTATTCTATGATTTCAGACCAGAGGTCATTCTTTATGCAAAGTAGTGAAAGTACTGAACAATATAAACTTGTGGTCTGAAGCAGGAAAGAGAGGGTGGATATATCCACGTTGTTAGCCTCTTAGATATGGCCACTAAAGGTAAAGGTCCTTTTCTATTTCTTCTTAATTATGCTAATTGAATGATAGGAGGGGAAAACGAGACACCATTAACTACAAACAACGCCATAAATAAACTTAGCAGTGTTGGTTTCAGATTTACGCATTGGAGAGAAGTTGCTCGCCATCTTCAGATAAAGCAAGACGATAAGGACAAGTACATGAGTAGACATTATGGTGATGATGCTACTGCTTTGGAAGAATGCGTGGATGATTGGCTGAGAAACAGCAGGGAGCCTACATGGGATAAATTTCTACACATCATTGCTGCAGTTGACAAATCAGCAGCAAAACGAATCAGATATTCTATTGGTCTACCATCAGGTGAGTACTGCTATTCTCTATGTTAAGCATTCATGTTATTCTGTTAGTGAGAGAAGAGCTAACTGCCCTTGAGTTGCTGTCCGATGATCAACTCACAGCTCTTGGGGACATACCCTCCAGTTTGGTGGGACGATTGGAAGCCGAGGGAATAGCAGGAGAGGGTGAGTCTGGTTGGCTGAAGGACGTCACGACATGGAAGGAAGTGATAAAAGGATTTATACAGATTCTAAAGAATAATACCGATAGTAAAAAAGAAATAAAATTTGGTAACATACTATCTTTATATGAAGAAACAGCAACAATTGGAAGGGATATGCTTCTGGAAAAACGTAAGGATTTACACATTGCAGCAAATGTCTATGTATGGTATGTTTTCATTATATTATAGCTTTAACTCCTGTGGCACTCTCTCCTACATATCAGTCTCAATTTGTTAGCCTCTTTCACAGATTTGCTATGCTTCTAGAGGAAATTAGACCGAAACTCACTCAAAAATTGCCACCACAAAAACTAAAAGACTTAAAACGTTATATTAAGAGGCAACATCATATTGATGAAAAGAAACTTATGGAGTTTGAAAATTGCAAAAATATGGAAGAAGCCCTTGACTTGGTGGAGGACTCCTGCAGTTGTACTAACATTTCATTAATTAAGAATATAGCAAGTAAGTATCAATGTGTTGATGCTCAAGAAGATATAAGCAAATATGAGGAAGGCATTGACAGTTTCGCAAATCATTTACGCGATAGTCTTAAAAACCGCTTGCCAGTGTACTTGTGCCGTGATCGTACCGAGCCACTCCTTTGTGAGAGACTAGAGTTTACATTGGAGTGGGAAGCTAACAAGGCTTCATACGAAACCATCAAATTCATTTTATACAAAGCATTTGAAGACATTGCTAAAAATATCAATGTTATCCGCATAAATGGAGGCTCTGTTACTGTTCTGTGTCGTATTCCACACTCACTTGTACCTCTGGCCATTTACAAGGCACAAAAGAACATGGAGTTTCTCCAGAAGCATTGCATGATCAGCCTAACCATTGGATACATGACAGTAATAGCAAAATCAATAGAGAAAGTAAACAGATCTAAGCTATAATTATGTCTTTATTGATAATGATTGTGTATTTTTTAGAAAGTGGAGGAAGAGGAAACAATAACTGCAGAACATTATCCACAAAAAGAGGAAGGATTTGAAGAGGACATAACTGCTAGTGACACTAAAGATGAGACAGGTATCCCATACTACAAGGCATTAGAGTCGTTTTATGGAACCATTTTATAGTCAATTTGCAGAAAATAAAAGAGGAACTTGAAGAGAAAAAGAGGCAGTGTCTACAATTAGAGGAAAGATGCTCCAAGTGGGAAAATATTGCACAATCATCAGCAACAGATCAAATGACTGAAGCTTTGCTTGAACAACTGAAAGGTATGTAATCATATGTAAATATAGCATGCATAGTATTATTCGTGTAGAATATCAAGAAAAAGAGCAAAATTTTAAAAGAATTGTTGCTGAGAGAGATTTCTTAGCTGAAAAGCTGAGTAGCTCTGAATCAGAGAAGAAAGAACTGCTAGAGAAACTAACTGACAAAGAGAACCAGTTAATGTCTTTAGTTCAAATTGAAGAGCTAACTCAGCATGAGCTAGCAAAGGAGAGGGAGGCAAACAAGCTGATTCAGCAGGAAGTACAGACACTACAAAATGAGAGTAAGTATATGCAGCACTGCTACTCATAACTTTAGAGCATTATTAGAGAAAGAAGCAGAGACTGTCATGGGAGAAATGAAGGAAAAAAATGAAAAACTACAAACAGGCATTGCTGATGAGAGTAAGCAGATCTAAAGGCATAAATTTATCATCATTCTCTTAATATCAACAGGAGAAAAAGCAGAGAAGATGGAAGCAGAAAAAGAAAAGCTACAAAGTGAATTGGACACTGTCAAAATAATGAAAAAGAGAATGATGGAGGAGAATGAGGAACTGAGAAAAGTGAAGGAAGAATATGAAAAACTGCAAGCAGACATTGCTGGTGAAAGTAAGCGAGCATTTAGTCATCATCATCATTCTCTTAATATCATCAGGGGAAAAGGCAGAAAAGATGGAAGCAGAAAAAGAAAAGCTACAAAGTGAATTGGACACTGTCAAAATAATGAAAAAGAGAATGATGGAGGAGAATGAGGAACTGAGAAAAGTGAAGGAAGAATACGAAAAACTGCAAGCAGACATTGCTGATGAAAGTAAGCAAGCATTTAGTCATCATCATTCTCTTAATATCATCAGGAGAAAAGGCAGAAAAGATGGCAGCAGAAAAAGAAGAGGAGATGGCAGCCGAAAAAGAGAAGCTACAAGAAAATTTGGACGATGCAAAGAAAATGAAAAAAGCAATAATGATGGAGAATGAGACACTGAAGAAAGAAAAAGGAAAATATGAAGCCCAAAGTATGCTTATAAACTATAGCTCATGTATTATTATCATTTCTTTGATCTTGATAGTTAAAGAAATAAAATTAACTCGAGTACCAACATTGCATGATGACTGGAGAGATAGCGAGCCACACACTCTACCAGTAGAAGTGTTGATGACATCTTTTGATTCTCATCATAAAAGCAACAAGCATTGGTACAGCCCAAGCTTCTACTCTCACGAAAAAGGATACAAGTTGTGTCTACGAGTCAGAGCAAATGGAGAGTCACAAGGAAGTGGAACACATCTCAGCATTCACATCCATTTGATGAGAGGGGATTACGATGACGTCTTAAAATGGCCAGTCAGAGGAAAAGTAACACTAGAGATTTTGAACAGGAACCGTGATAAAAATCACTTCTCTGGGGATATCGAGTTTAATGATGATTCTAACCCAGAGGCGACTGGAAGGGTAATCAATGGAATACAGATAAGCAGTGGGACTGCAGCTTTCGTTGGACAGGGAGGAGCAACATTTGTACCACAGGACCTTCTCTTCCAAGATCACTTGAAAGATGATAGCATTAGGATCCGTGTCGCCAGGGCAGAAATGGAACCACAAGGTGCAAGTGTAGTACCTAGTGAAGCTCCTACTGGCAAATCTGCTGTCGTTGAATTTAGAGTCAACAAATTCTCTGCTCTTAAAAAATCCAACGGAAGCTATGTCAGCGAGCCTTTCTACACACACGAAAAAGGTTACAAGTTTGTTTTCATGGTGTATCCCAATGGAGTAGGAGGAAACAAAGGGAAGAATGTATCCATCTTTGCTCACCTCACAAGAGGAGAAAATGACGATCAACTCAAGTTTCCGTTTAGAGGAGAGTTCACACTCCAAGCTGTTAACTGCCGTGACACTAATAAAGATCATGCTGAGAAAGTGATTCGAATTAACGAATTCACAGATCCAAAGGAGACATATGGCAGCCGTGTAGCATGGTATAATGTGACCGGAAGAGCACTCAATGGATATGGATTCCCAGAATTCTTGGCACATGAGCAACTCGCATATAACGAAAAGAATAACACACAATATCTTGATGATAATGACTCAATGCTATTTAGAGTCACTAATATCACAGTAAATTCAATGTAAAACAATACTTTTTTAAATTGATGCACACATTTTTCAGCTTTTTAATATAAAAAAATATAAATATAAATTCCTATAAAAACTGTTCACTATAATAATAAACATAAACCAGAAGTCCTATTAACATTTTCATGTATGATAAAATGAAACAGTGAAGCACGTACGTGTACTAATACAGAATAGCAGCAGCATGAATACTGTCACTAGGACAAAGGAAGCTGTCGCAATTTACAGCATTTTATCATAACTATTGTAGTGAAGGTTTGCATCTCCACTGAAGTCAACAGTCACATTAAAAGTACGGATCATCATTGGAGATAATGATACAGTAAAATCAGGAGCAGTGACAGGAGGCAAATTCATAGGACTAGGAACTAGAAATACACGTACACAATCATAATACTCTATACTGTCTGTCTATATGCATACCTGTTTGACCTTCAACTGTCTTCCATTGTAGTCTCTTTATATCAGATAAAGCTACATTACCTCCTAAACCTAGCTCTGTTACTTCTTTGATTTTAAATGCAACAAATAAATCCTTTAGGTAATTCAAGACACCATAATATCCATTAATAATAATAATAATACTTACACTTAGTTTAACAGATGCAGGAGCAGACCACTCTTTAGGATCATCAGATTCAAACTGATGATCCAAACGAAGGAGAATTGTTGATTTATCCAA